AGGGTAAAATGTAAAATCTCTTTGTATAATATATTAACAGTGTTTGTTTTAGAAATGTGTGTTATTATGTTATGTACATGGTGGCTGCATATTCATATGAACTCAAGGAGGTTTTCGTTCTGTAAGATGCTTAATTTCTTGTTCTTATTTTGCAGGTTGAAGTCTACAAAAGAAGATCTTTGTAAACAATATTTGTGGAGTGAATTGTTCCATCGATGAGTCTTTCTGGGTGAACAAGCAGTGTGATATCTTTGCAGCATCTGACTCTGCTTAATGCGACGTACAGTTGACCATGTGTGAAGCACTCGGTTCGGAGGTCTACTCCAACCATGTTAATGGTTTGGCCCTGACTTTTATGTATGGTCATGGCATACGCCAGTTGTAGAGGGAACTGTCGGCGCTTTACCTCCATGGGTGAACCAGGCACGATAGAAATTTGAAAGTAATTCTTGGAATGGCGAAAGACTCATTGGAATTGGGTTTCCTTGCTCTGACGAGAAGATGGCTGATAGACTCAATGATCAATTTTGTCCCATTGACCAGTCCCTGCTCGACGTTAAGGTTTCTTATCAGAATGCAAACGGCTCCCACTTTTAAGTCAAGTTTGTGGGGTGGGACTCCTTTCGCCGTCGCTTCGTTGAGGAGTTCTTCGTCCGCACCCATGCCATCATCGGTCTCTGCGTCGACTGAGTCGTAACTAATCGCAGTGTGGAGTGGACCGTGAAGCATGGCGAGGACGTCTGAGTTTATGTCGGTGACGTTGACATTGAGTGGTGCAAGAATGGCTCGTTTGGCGCATTCGTCTGGTTGTTCAAGATGGTCTCTGGGTAGATTTGGTTAATGAGTTGTTGTTTGGTGGCCAATGAATGTATTCCCTCCAAGGTAGTAAGAAGAGTGGTTTTCCATGAGATCTGTGGTAGGGACTGATGGAGTGGTCCCGTCTCCAATCTGAAGAAGGAATCTGGCGTAATCTAGATCATCTCGAGTCCTTTGAGGTGTTTTCAAGGTAAAAGTCTTCATCAGTTCCCAGAGGGGAGAAGATCTGATGGAAGCGTCTAGAACATCGTTTGCAGAATTGGCGCCTTCGACTACTGGAGGTGTCTGGCGGAAATCTCCTGAGCAGAGTAAAATCTTACCTCCAAAAGGAGCATCGTTTTGCATCAAATCCCGCAGTGATCTGTCGAGAACATGCATGAGATGTTTGTGGGCCATAGGTGCCTCATCAAATATGATCAAGTCTGCGGCTCGAATTAATTCTGCTCTTTGTGTGCCGTTGGTGATGCCCCAGGTAGCGGAGCCCTCCTTCATGTCGAGGGGCAGTCTGAACATGTTGTGAGCGGTTGTTCCCCCTTCCATGTTCAGTGCGGCAATGCCGGAGGAGGCCACGCACAGAACCACTTTGTGACGTGCTCGGAAGTGGATGTTATCACTTTCAGTACCGCCGTTTTGCCGTATCCCCCGGGCGCGGACAGAAAGATTGTTCTGGTATTGTTACTATCATTGTGTTCTGATAAGTTTGTTACATAGTCGAAGAGTTCTCGCTGCTCTGGATCGAGCAGCGGGAGCCATCTGTCGACGTATTCCTGTTGTTTTTCAGAAGAGTATTGCAAGTGTTCTCGCCCAAGCTCGGTTGTGTCGTCCTGCACGTCTGGGAGTCCGTGCTCGGTAGTTTAGTGCCATTGCGGCGGAGCGCTCTGTCTATTTTGATTAAAGCTAATTTGTATGCCTTTTCAGGATCATCCGGATGGAGATCCAAGAAGTCCTCTGCGAGCTTGTCTTTGGCGTCCTCCCAGGATGGCTGCAGGCGCTCCTTCCTTGCAAAGGACCACAAAAAAGTGTCGAAGAGCTGGAGCCCATCATGAAACTAGACGCCTCTTGTAATGTTTGCAGGTATTCTTGTTGGTTGTCCACAAGCCCCAGGCATTGTGCTGCCATCTGAAAGGTAGTACATTCAGGTCCACCTTTCAGTTTTAGATCTTCGTAGCCCCTGCAAGGTACGTTGGTGAGCAGAAGCCTGAGATAAAAGAGTTCTCCTTTGTTAGGAGAGACCCAGAATAGTCTGGTGACCTTCTCCTTGTTCTGTCTCTTGGTGATAAGTGTTTGCCATCTGAATGTGCGAAGACGGGAACTCTAGACGCCCGAGGATGGGAAGTGTGTATAAATGTAGTTTTCAAAGAAACTCTGATAAGTGAGATCCTCGAATTCCTCGTTGAGGGGCCTATTAAAGTAGAGGACAAGTTGTGAGGTGTCCTGCTAAAGCTTCCTGTTCTTTCCTTTTTTGAAAAAAACGCATTGTTCTCCTTGCAGGTGGACTGGGAGCATGTCAACTGTTGGTTCCGAACATGTGAGATCGTAACCAAGGAGACGCCAGCATGCGTCGCTGGCGCCAATCATTCTTCGAGTGGCGTACTCCTCCGGTTCATCTTGTTTGTTCGTGAAGTGGAATCACACGGACGTTCTGAAGAGATGCCCTTTGAGAGGTATTTAAAAAGGTATTTTTACCCTTCTCGTCGAGGCTATCTCAAGATTAATGTGACATCCGTATTTCAGAAGCAGTGCTGCATTGTACGGTACCACCCAGCCGTCATGGATTTCGACATCTCTGTTTCTCAGTTTAATTGTGGCTTTGTTGGAATAATCTCTTTTGTAATGAACGAATCCCCTGTTATCAATGTATGTTGTATCTGTTGCAGGTTTGGGAAAGAATTTGGAGCATCTTTTTTTCTGGGTATCCCAGCACCGAACGTCTGTTCGGTAATTCGTCCCGCATGGGCCGTGAATCATGTGTTTCAGAACAAGTTCCCGGAGTCGTCCATTTGCCTCCTGAGGGCCCGGGATGTCAGCTCTTATTACTTTGTCGATGTCAACACCTTGTGTGGGGCCTCCGTCCTTCAGCTTGATGGCAATGTGTGCGTGCGGAAGACCTCTCATCTGCATTTCGATCACGTGTACAATGTATGCTTGTTGCCCGAACAAAGCGCCGCTTCTGATGTCCCTAAGGAGTTCTTGCAATTTGATATGGAAGACCCGACAGCACGTAGCAGGGTCACACTTTGCACCGTGTCTCGTCGATTCTCTGAGTTCCGCCCACTGTCCACAAGCCGTAAACGTAAGGAAATAGTTGGGTTTTCCTTTACGAGTGACCAAACCCATCGAATTATAGTACTGTGTACGCATGTACCGTGGGGATCCGGTAAACGTGGAAGGCAGATAGATTTTTCCAGCCGTGGCAGTGACATCGTCACCTTGTATTGTTTCGTCCTGGGCTATGTCGTTATGAACCTGGCGAGGGTTGACGAAGTCTTGCAGTTCCGAAAGCGGAGCGACTCTCGTCTGGTTTGGTGTTTCCCCTCTCTGAACGCGTGCGATAAATCGGAGACGTTCTTCCTCGAATCTGGCGAACATCTCGCACATCCATGCCTGGGAGAGACGTCCAAGTTCAAAGAACCTTGGTTCTGACAGGAGGAGGCAACGCGTATATTTGTACTGAGAGAGCTTTTTCCCGAAGTTATCGGTCATGGAGTAGTGCCAACCTGGAGTCCCGTGGGGATACAGCAATGGATATTGGAGTGGTTCCATGAGTGGGCTAAGCACATCGATGTATGAGGCTTTTGCTGCATTGTGTTTCCAAACGGAGAGTTTCCTGGGACCACCCGCAGTAGCCTCATCCACATTCAGGACCGCGTGAACTTCAATTCCAGGATTGTGATCCCCTAGAGTGTTTCCGTGGGTGCTTCTGGTAGTGAACCCAAATTCAAGGCGTGCATTCAAGGAGGGTTCAAGAGCCAAACGTCGAAATTGTCTAACAAACGGATTTGTCTGTTCCAGGTATTGCGACGTCGCAGCTATAATGTTTAGACTGAGGCCACGACCTTGCGCAAGTGCTTCTCGCTCTGCGCCGTCATCAAGGTACAGTCTGCAGTGATTTATGTACTGTTGCCCCGTTGTTGCCCTAAATGATTGGCCGGCGGCGTTGATATCAAAAAGTCGGTGGTACATGCGTCCTTCAATTTTCAGGAAAGAGAGGCACTTGGATGTTTAAGCCACCAGAAATTCCCATGGCACAAAATGCAACCATGTCGTTGTAGGCTCTGGCCCTGTCAAGAAAAACTGGAGATTCGTAAACGAGCGTCGAGAGGAGGAAGATTAGCAACGTTGTAGGCACCACCACCACAACACCATTTTTCCCTTGTTTTTTCCTCTTCGAAGAGGGAGGCGCCACAGAATCTGCATCGGTGGATGTCAAGTGCAAATAAGTTGCCCTTTTTCAATTTGTGCTGTTGTATGAGATTCAGCTGGTCGCCACTCCAGGACGCCATAGGGCCATGCAGTCGAACAGCACGCTGCATCTCTGGTGAGAGGTACCTGAGAGCATCATAATTAGGCTGTGTTGCTCGGTAGCGGGCATTTGTGGCGGCACGGGCTTCAGGATGGTTCTCAACGTAAGTATTCTGTCTCTCCTGGTTTGCTTGTGGAGTCTGTTGTTGGTATTGAGCCTGCCTTTGCCTGTGGGCCTCTGCATTTTCCTGTTGGTATCTGGCTTGTCTTTCTCTATGGGGCTTCCGGGTTTTTTTGTTGGTGCAGTGCAAGGGCCTGGCGGACTGCCTCTGCCTTTTTCTCTCTGTATCTTTTGTCTCTAGCTTGTCTTTGCTCTCTTGCAGAAAGAGAGGAAACCTTTGGACGCCCTTTTTTCTTTTTCTTTGGCCGGCCCACCTTTCTACGGGTTGGTTGACTGTTTGAAGAAATGACAGAAGAGTCGGAGTCTGAGGTGTTTTCAATGGTAAGTTGCGTAAGTTCAGCGGTTATGCCATGCGTGGTGGAAGAACTTTCATCCCTTAGTTGGTTACTGTCAGATGTGGAAGGTTTATTGCTCTGATTTATTTTTGCAGGGGTCCTGAGAGCGAGAGGCGTGTCAGAGTCACTGGAAAGACTGGAAGAAGGAGAAGGTTGACGGCATTGGTGAGTAGAAGAAGAGGAAGGCTCTTTTTCCTGATTTATTACAGGTGGTGTGGTTAGTGCGAGGGCCGTATCTGAGTCACCGGACACAATATGAGTGATGTGTGGTAAGTTCTGGCTTGTCCCCGTGGAGGATGATTTGTGTTTTTTCTTTGTTTTTGAAGGTGTTCTGAAAGCGAGTGGCGTATCAGAATCACTGGATGTGTTGTGCATGCAAGGAGTAACTTTCCGTTTTCTGTTTTCAGATGCAGAAGAAGTGGCAGAATCAGTGCAAGTGGCCTGGCTCTGCTGTTTCGGCTTCGGGCATCTTTCTCGACCTTTTTTTGGCGGTCTCCGAGTTGAAGATTGTGGAGGCGGAAAAGAAGTAATTTTTGTAATAACAACATCTTTAAGTGGGTCTGGTCTAGGTGTCCTGAGGACAAAAACAAAGTTAGATTCATCTTCTGAGGAGGACGCTATCTTTGAAAGTGACATGGCGACGTTTGTCGTTGAAGAAGACACACGTCAGGAAGAAAAGGGAGAAGAAGACAAAAAGAGAAGGAAGTGAAAAAATCAAGCGAAAAAGAGTACAAGATCGCTGTAGGAGCGACAAATACTGCACAAGCGTACAATATTCTACGTCGCTGCAGTAAGGAGAGCAGCCTGTCAGTATGCGACGGCTGCGAAGCAGAAAAAATACAGCACGAGCGTGCAGTAGGGAAGGAAGCAGGGTAGCACAAAAGCTTCGCTGCCAAGAATGCAGAGACCGTGCTCAGCGAAGGGAGGGCTTGGGCGAAGGCTCCAACAATGCAAGGGGGTGCGGAGCGCAGCGCGCTGCACGGCGCAGGTACAGTCAGAACAGGAAGAGCGGGGCGGAGACAGTCAGCACGAGCAGTGCACGTGGCAAGAGGCATGCAGCCTTTAAGGGCCACCGAAGACGCACGAGCAGTGCACGTGGCAAGAGGCATGCAGCCTTTATGGGCCGCTGACTTCGGACGCTGGCCTGGCCGACACTTTGGGAAGAAGTGACTGACGTGAAAGACGGTAGAAAAGAGTGTCCAAAAGTTTAAGCAGGGTAACGGCGGGGCCTGCCGTACGCGAAGCACATACGCGGCCGAAATGGGCGCGAGACGGAGCTCGTTTCTCGAAAACCGTGCGCCGCAAGACAAAAAGTCATAAGAAAGAAAATGACGGCCTCAAAATTTAAGGGGTTGCGTACGCTTTGATGACCCACTTCAAACGCAAGCTTGTGGGTGAAATTTGGCAAAAACACAATTTTTCCGCATTTCGTGCTCCGCATTTCGGCCACGAATCGTCTCCCGCTCGAGAACGGTTCGTCCGATCGGGTCGAGACAAAGCTCATCGGACAGAGCATAAAATTTGAGGGGGGGAGTCCTCGCGACAACCCACCGTCCGAAACGCGTCCTTGTAGGTGAAAAGACGCTTCGCGCGCCGTGGGGTGCTGCCGGGCGGAGGGGAATACCCCCCCGGCGTTCGGAGACCTCAACGCGGGAAGAGGTACGAAATTTCGATTTTTCGCGATTTTAGGTGGGAAGGAGTGAGAAATCGTAGGATTCGACACTTTTTCTTCAAGGCAACACGCCCGTTCCGGTTCGAACGGTATGTCTACGGCTGTGATCGGCCCGACAGTTTCCCCGGCACATTAGCGTCGCCTGTCAGTCAGTCATCTTGAACCAGGGTATTTTTTGATGGACTCGCTTCGCTCGCTGGGGGGGCTTCGCCCCCCCAGACCCCCCCGGTGCGGGCCTTCGGCCCGCTGTGTGCAAAAGCTACGGTCTGCGACGGGGGACCTTCGGTCCCCCGTCTTGACCTGCTTTTTGCTGGGTTTTTGGGCCCTTCGGGCCCATGCTGGACCGTCCGCCTACGTAAGACCAATTCGCTTTTTTTTTTTTTGGCCCTTGGGGCCCGCGTCTTCTTACAATTTGCAGTGGTGCCCCAAGTTCGGAAACCGGAGAAAATCGATAAAAATACGTTATTCCTAACGGGAGTCGAACCCGCGACCATCCGCACCGCGGCCAAACTTTTAACCCACTCTGCCGCGCCGCCTGCCAAGCTCACTTCAGTTGCGCCGGGTGGTAGCGTTGCCACTCTGCAGGCTTCCCCCACCCCGCCACCTGACGCCAACTATCCTGACCTAACCTCACCTGACCTAACCTAACGGGCCCGTGACAGATCTTACTCTAACTAAGACAGATCTTACTTACACATCCCAAAAAAATAATACAAGTAGCGACCGGGAGGCGAACCCGCGACCGTTCTCCTAACCTAACCTTACCTGACCCTACTCACTGAGAGTACAAGTGCCTTGCAGCCTTCCCACTCCGCCGGCTACCCCCACCGCGCCCCCCACCCCAACGCCCTTATTGGAAGCACCAGAGTGGTTAAGCCATTTCAACCTTTCTTTGGATTTATCAGAAAGAGATCATAAACAAAAACCCTCACTGGCGCTCAAAAAAAAAAAATTATATGAAAAAAGTGAAATAAAACTTATGTAAAAAGTTCAATATTTAAAGTGCTGCTATTCCTAAACCGTTTGATATTTTTCAAAATCCTTTGGTTTGGGAGTACGGGGGGTTGGTCCCTACAAGTCAACCAAAAATAAGTGAAATCTGAGATAGGTCATTTTTGGGGTTCGGTGGTCTGGCGTGGAATGGCCCTGCTGAGCATGGTAAAGGTGCCAAACAACGCCTGGTAAAGGGTCGCGTACCTATACGGGGCCGTATCACGCGCCAGGGTCTGGTACGGTCTGGCCTTCAGGAGTGCCAAGCGAAGGACCTTTCTTGGCTCACGACACACTAACAGTTGCCAAGATGGGAAGCTTGTGTCAAAAGCTACACGTCACAATCAATGACTTGTGGTTTTACCGACATACCACAGCATGGTAACGATGACGCTAATGAAAGCAGCTTACAGCATCCAAAGTAGGCACGAACTCCATTTCGCCTGACTTAATCATTTACAAAGATTAAAATAAATGACAAAAAGTGACACAAAGTGTTGCCCACCTACCCATATCGTATATGAAATAAATTAACAATCTTTCAAACTGCCAACTAGAAGACAAACAGTGCTGCCAACACGGTGATGCATTTTATGGCTCATGAAGTTCAAGCTGCTGTTTTAACATGTGCTATTTTCGGTCCGACCCAAAGCACTTAGCAGTTTCTTCTCCGATCAAGAAGTGATACACACTTGTCCAGTAGCATGTCTAGTAGCACCTGGGATAAAACAGGCAAACACGCTCATTATTTTCACTGTTTCCCATCCCCAATTCCGCTGCCCCCTCCCCCCGCCCCCTTACGCCAATACAAGCTTCTGTCCAAACAGGAAGTGGTCATCAGATCGTTGTCGAAGTCGAATGCCGCCAGCGAAAGCGACACAAGCTACATTGCAGCCTCCTTACACTTTTGATAGTTTCACGTTACAATGCACACCAGTTGTTATTGTTCTGGCGGAACTGCGTCACCCAACCCAACACAATTCGTGAAGCCCCGCCTTGCTGCAGCAAGTTCGCCAGACAACCGCCAAGACACCTTCCAGGTTTTGAGGATAATTGTGTAAGAATCGGAGTCTGTATGCAAGCAAATTTACGTCTTCTGTCACGGATCAAAGGACATTGATCGAAAAAAGTCGCTAACAAAAGTACGTCCGTTTTAATACCGTAGACACCTACAATAACATGATGATGAAATTCGATTTTTTTCATAATTAAATCATTTTAAACGAAAAGACACCAAAAAAATTTGTCAGGCAGTCATTCAAGAGCTTTCGCTCTCTCGCCGCTAGGTCATGGTTAAGGTGCCAAGCAACGGCTGGTAGAGGTCGCGTACCTCTACGGGGCCGTATCACGCGCCAGGGACTGGTACGGTCTGGCCTTCAGGAGTGCCAAGCGAAGGACCTTTCTTGGCTCACGACACACTAACAGTTGCCAAGATGGGAAGCTTGTGTCAAAAGCTACACGTCACAATCAATGACTTGTGGTTCTACCGACATACCACGGCATGGTAACGATGACCCTTATGATGGCGGCATACAGCATACAGGGTATGAAGGAACTCCATTTTGCCTGCCTTTATCCTTTACCAAATTGAAATAAATGACAAAAAGTGACACAAAGTGCTGCCCTCCTAACCTTATATGTTTATTTTTTGTCTCTCTGCACCACAAACATGTAAGAACCCACCGACTTCTACTGCACCTTCAGCAGCACCCTGCTGCCCCCCCCCCCCCCCCCCTAAGGTCATATGGAAGATAGGTCTGCGCAACCGAGATGCATGCTGGGAAACCGGGGAAGCCGGGAGGCAGGCTGGCAGGCAGGTAGGCGGTCCTCCGCTGCAACCGGTGACGGATTCGGGAGGGATTAGCTGCGCCCGGCTCTCGGTTGCGCAGACCTATCTTCCATAAGACCCTACCCCCCCCCCCCCCCCCCCCCGGGACATCCCCGCTTTGGCCTTCGTCCCACTTTAAAAACGGCTGAAAAAAGAGAACTTTAAAGGGTTCTTTTAACTTCTTGTCAATTTTCATATCGTTTCATATGTTTTGGATGATGCTAATGACGAAAATAGAACCCATTTGCACCCCCAACCTAAAGTTAAATTCTTTTGGTGTAGATTTCGATAACATTATGCTATTTTTTGAGGGGATCACGCCCATTTCTACAGCCTGCCTAGGAAAGCAACCTGCCGAAGGCAAGTAAGCACCGCAGACCGAGGAAGGTGAATACGCCCGGCGTGCATGGTCGAACCTGGCGCAGCATCACGAAGCCTGTTTCGACAGACACAATCTAGCTGACACTTACTGTGTAAATATTGTCAACATTTTCAACGTGGACGCCTTCATTTCTTTGCATCGACTCAGATGCTGCTGCACACGGTAGGACAAAAACGAAAAGATGAATATTTCAAAGTTCACTATATGATGAATGAGTAGAAAACATCGGCAAATAAAGTAGTAGAAAATGCATATAATTGTGGCAGTGTTCCGCGCTAAATACTGAGGTGGCCGGGCCTTCAGAGTGCCGCCAATCTCAGGACCAAGGACCAACAGACAGTGACGTGAATCTTAAACAATATGAAATAAATAAACAATCTTTCAAACTGCCAACTAGAAGACAAACAGTGCTGCCAAGACGGTGATGCATTTTATGGCTCATGAAGTTCAAGCTGCTGTTTTAACATGTGCTATTTTCGGTCCGACCCAAAGCACTTAGCAGTTTCTTCTCCGATCAAGAAGTGATACACACTTGTCTAGTAGCATGTCTAGTAGCACCTGGGATAAAACAGGCAAACACGCTCATTATTTTAACTATCTGTTTCCCATCCCCAATTCCGCTGCCCCCTCCCCCCGCCCCCTTACGCCAATACAAGCTTCTGTCCAAACAGGAAGTGGTCATCAGATCGTTGTCGAAGTCGAATGCCGCCAGCGAAAGCGACACAAGCTACATTGCAGCCTCCTTACACTTTTGATAGTTTCACGTTACAATGCACACCAGTTGTTATTGTTCTGGCGGAACTGCGTCACCCAACCCAACACAATTCGTGAAGCCCCGCCTTGCTGCAGCAAGTTCGCCAGACAACCGCCAAGACACCTTCCAGGTTTTGAGGATAATTGTGTAAGAATCGGAGTCTGTATGCAAGCAAATTTACGTCTTCTGTCACGGATCAAAGGACATTGATCGAAAAAAGTCGCTAACAAAAGTACGTCCGTTTTAGTTCCGTACCTCTACGGGGCCGTGTCGCGCGCCAGGGACTGGTACGGTCTGGCCTTCGGAAGTGCCAAGCGGAGACCTTTCTTGGCTCACCACACACTGGTGGCGACCAGGTACCAACACACACCCAGCCACCTTGCCAAGAGAAAGAATTGACAACACCGTTCACCGAGTCTTTTGCAAAACTCTTTTGACACCACTCCATTGTCAACGAAGAAAATCACTCAAAGACGAGATGTAGAAGAAGATGCACCGATCATATAGTCTAACCTTAAGATGAAAGAGAGGAGAATGTTGATTGCTAAGTAGGGAACAAAACAATCACAAGGTCGACGGCGTAACTTAATGTATAATAAAGATGAAGAAAACCTTCTGAAACTTCGTAACGCACAAATCCTCTAAGCCTCGAATGCTCTCCTCGAATGTGCACCTTTGCGTCCCGGACCCTTATGTACAAATGTCCCAAACGCGGTTCACACCTATCCTACTAGCGTACTCATCAACCTGCGTACCAAATGGAGTCACGCTATAATTTGTTTTCCGCTTCCAAGATTTTACGTCACCACAGAACACTACAAATGGCTCGATGCCAATAAGAAACAATTTGAAAATGGAAGCGATGACGTGACGGTAACTTTAATTTTTTATCCTTGCCAACAAAGGAAAAAGAACTTCTTTGCAACTCCACCTAAAACTTATACACTGTCGTGTTCCTATAGGGTACTTCGGAGGAAACGTATACCGGAAGTCAGCGACAGAACCGGAGAAACAAATGAACGTCACGCGGCCGTGCTGAGCGGTAGTGGAGGCCGAAATGGGCAGAGTAGGAATAGAATGCGCGCGCCGCCTTCGCCCCACTCCGCCGATTTCGAACCCGACCACCGCTCAGCACGGCCGTGCGACGCTCTTTTGTTTCTCCCGTTCTGTCGCTGACTTCCGGTCTAGGCTTTCTCCGAAGTACCCTATTATCAACAATGACAACTTTCATCGAGAATAAACGTTTTTATAATCCTCACCAAAGTACAAGCCTGGAAAAACAGCAAATTTTTTCAGGGAACATCTAGGAAGAACCGAACGTTGGTTTCGCCGTGTCGTTTGAGTAACCCTGTTTCATTAAAAGTTGTCTTCTCCGTCAAGGCACAAGAGGATAAACCTACAGCCATAAACTTCGAGACAACTGCTTAGGAAACAGGTTTACTCAAACCACGCGGCAGAACCAACGCCCGGGTTTTCCAAGACTAACCTGCAAAAATTTCCTGTTTATCCAGAGTGCGCCTGGAAAACCACTCTACAAATTGAAGAGCGTACATTGTATGCTCTCACTGAAACATGCCTGCAAGCACGCTCTAGCTAGCGCATGCCTGCCAAGCATGCACTTACTAGTGCATACATGCCATGTACACGCTACTTTAGGGCCAACATGGTCCCTCCCAACCCTTTGGAACCCATACAAGGACAAGGAGAACTTAATGCCGGTTGAAGGTAAGTTGACTTTGAAGCACATATTAATTTAGTAATTTAAATAAATAATAAATATCTTAATTATTTCTTTTTTTTTCAGATAACTCAGGTCCCGGCACGCAAACAAAATCAGTTCATCTATTCGAATAAAGTATATAAAACCTTGTTTTCTCATCGATTGCCCCAAAAGTGTGATGGATCATTCTTGTGCTGTTTGCGGACACCCAGCATTCATGCCGAAAATAAAATTGTATATAAGCAATAAAAGAACTCTGCCCACTTAAAATAAATTGATATGCGCCTTAATACAAAATAAAAACCATACACCTGCCCTGTTAATTTTAAACCAAAAGTGATCCAAAAAAAGAGATCGTTCCCACACTACGTGACTCTTTGACGTCACAAATACACTGCTTCGTAAAAAGTTCCTTCAATAAGTTATCGGACCTTGGCAACAGAGCAGCATTTTAGTGAAATCAAACAATCTTTAATAGTACAGAATCGATCCCTTTCGGCTTATCACTCTTTTTCACTCTCATCTGGTCCGACGTTAGCTGGGAGAAGATGACCAAAAATATGTCATACTCTCCCACTCAGAGCAGACGGCGTGAACGTCTCGGACCTTGCTGCTCCAATGAGATGAGGTGAATGAAATGAATGATGTTGGGAAAAGCAGGTGGCGGGCGAACATGCTGGCGGCTAGTTACCAACATGCCCGCCCGCCTGCCGACCGCCCCCGCCCGCTGTCCAACACCGGTTTCGGCGAGTGCCCTAAACATTTCATCCTTCATTCCCCGGCGTCCACCCGCCACGCCAGAGTCAAGCGAAACATTTTGGAGCACTCCGCACTCTGATGGCAAAAAACTCATGTCGCCATGCGTTTTAGCCGTCCGGTGACCCACGTCCCACGCCCTCACTGACCCAAAATGGAAACTCCATCTTGGATCAGTAAAGCAGTGAAACACAAATCCCCTAGGCAGAAACGCACTTGCGTCCACAGGCTTCTTTGCATCAGAGTGCACGAAACCGATGTTGGAACCCTAGCCCCACTACCCGTTGGCAGTCGGCAGTGTCGAAATGCAAAACAATTGCATTTCGAAAGTAAATGTGCCAGTAAAACAAACGATGCGGATCACTACCAGGCCGGATGCCACCCGGTCGATCCACAAAGGATGCTCCACTGCCACACTTACTACAAGGGCTAGGGATTCAGCAAACTAAAATGACCCGAAATTCAATATCACAATCACTCTAGTTCCAAACACGTGACATCACGTTGAAACGCATGTGAAAAATAAATCACGTTCCGTTGAGCGTTGTGTCACATTCGTTGAAATGTGAAACAGCCAAAAAAAAGCATATTCACTTTCCAACGAATGGGGCACAAGACTCAAAGAAACGTGACCATTTGTCACCACATTTTGTTTTAACGTGATGTCACGTTTTTGAAATAAAGAGTAAACTATATTTAAACAAAAGACTTTATTCTGTAACCCATTTAAAATACTTTTCCCAACTAAAAAAAAAGGATGAAATGAATGTAACTGAATGACATGATAAAATAATAAATTAGAGGATATAAATAGGGGAAAGGAGATTAAAAATTGTGACGATGAATGTATTATCACACGGACCGTTATTAGTGGTGGCCAAATCCACGAAAATGCCACAAATTGAATCATTCACACAAACACAGAGAAAAACACACATACTAACACACACACAAGAACAAAAAGCCTCAGCAGGCTAGAAGCTGAACCCAGCTGTACTAAAGATGAAGCATACAGGCAGAAACAACTCAGTCACCAACCTTGAACGCCGGACTACTTTGATCAAGTGTTGATCCAATCAAGGCACTGTAATTCATTCACACAGACATTTCATAGTGGGAGCCGAAACCACACAGTACCAATGATGAATCACACACTCACACATACACACACAAAAACAAAATGCCTTAGCAGGCTGGAAGCTGGACCCAGCTGTACTAAGATAAAGCGTACAGGCAGAAACCGACTGAGTCACCAACCTTAAACGCCGCAACACTTTGACCAAGTGTTGATCCAAAAAAGGCACTAAATTTCATTCACACAGACCGTTTATAGTGGAAGCCGAATCCACAAAGTGCCAATTATGAATCACACACACACACACACACACACACACACACACACACACACACACACACACACACACACACACACACACACACTCTTAAAATACCAAAAATAAAACCCTGACCGAATTACTGAATTACTCAAGCAGTGAGCGATACACGACATTCCTCGTATACGCAACACCGTCTTGAACGTACGCAGCCAACACTAACACAACCAAATCCTCACGCCTCCGCACGCGACCCAGAGCAACACATAATTGGCCGTGAGTAAAGCACTAAGAACGCAAATCTACTGCGCATTTGTTAATGGTTTGAGATTGTGCCTTGTGAATGGACATTGCGTAAGCCAACTGCAGAGGATAAGCACGACGAGACATCATAAATTCACTCCGAGGGAACACGGGAAACTTAAAAATAATGCGTGGAATTCCAAAGCGAACCTGACTTCCAGGGCGCCGCACTATTATAAGTCTCTGGCCTATTTCGACAATGATGACCTTTGTCCCGTTAAGAAGACCTTCCTCGAAATTGAGATTCCTGATGATCACACACACGGCACCGACCTTTAGGTGCAGAACGTGCGGTGGAACACCACTCTCACACGCTTGATTTAGTGTGTCCATATCGAAGAACTCATTACCGAGTTCTCTTTCCTCTGCGTCCAAAGCGTCGGCACTGTACTGAGGCTCATCAATACCAGACAGTGACTCCAGGATTGTGTCGTTGACGCTTCGAACGTTGACCAAGTGTGGCGCTAAGACAGCGCGACCAGCACACTCGTCGGGATCGTCAAGTAATTCGTCAGGAAAGACAGACTGAATCAAGGCTGACACAGTGGGAACATGCTCTATGCCTGTCAGAGCAATCACCCGCTCCCCCGCACTCAAATCAGGCAGCGTATGTTCCACAGCTGTTCCATCTCCAACCTCCAGCACAAAGTTGGAATACACTGCGTCAGTGCACCTCTGGCCGACGGTGAGGGCCATCTTGTGGAGAGCTGGCCAAATGTGTGAGGACTTGAGCGACACGGCACAGATCTCGTTGGCCGTCTCTGCCCCACGCACCACCGGTGCCAACTGCCTAAAATCACCAGCCAATAGGACCGGTTTTCCTCCAAACACCTTCGTTTGATCACACAGATCACGGAGCCCTCGATCCAACATTTCAATGAGGAACCGGTGTGCCATGCTCACTTCATCGTATATAATGAGATGTGCCGCCCTTACAAGCTCCGCCCTCTGTGATCCGTTGGTGATGCCCCAAACACCACGGTCATCATCGAGACTCAGAGGGAACCTGAACATGGAATGGGCAGTAATCCCACACACATACACACTAGCGGCAATACCGGACGAAGCGACACAGAGGACAATGAGGCCTTTCGACCTGAAGTGTGCTGCCAAAACGGATCCCAGCAAGGATTTCCCCGATCCGCCGGGTGCATCGAGAAACATGCCGTTGTTTTCGGGAGCATCTTCAGACCCCTCCACCAAGGCGCACACGTAGTCGAATACGCTGCGCTGTTCAGCTGACAAACGTGGCAGCCATTCGGCTACATAATTGGCCGAGGCGGTCCTGTCGTAGCCTACTTGCTCCCTGCCCAACTCTGTCATGAGGTCCTCCACTTCAGGGAGCCCGTGATCGACGACGCTACTTCCCTGCCGCCTAAGCCCTCTGTCGATCTGAATGAGAGCGACCTGGTAGGCACGCTCTCGATTCTCTTCCCCCTCAAACAAATCTTCAGACAGAAGGTCTTTGTGCTGCTCCCACAGGCTGAATGCTGGAGCACCGATTGAGCACAACATGACAAAGAATGACCTCAACCTGTACCCGGTCATGAATGAATGGGCCTCAACCAGGCTGTCCGAGTACTCTCGCTCGTCATCGAGTAAACCTTGCATGCGAGCAGCCTCTTGGAACGTTGTGCACTCCGGTCCACCCAACAGATAAAGATCATGGTAGCCACGACAGGGAAACCGCATCAACAGCATTCTCAGATAAAAAAGTTCACCGCGGTTGGGAGCCTGCCAAAACAAACGGCAAATCCTCTCTTTCATCTGCCGCCTCGTGACGTAGTGCGTCACTGGATCGCCAACACACTCCCAAACCGGCACACGCGTTGTCGTCGGCCGCCTGGAATGAACGATATATCGTTCATGGAAGTCGATATATGTGACGTCATCCAGTTCCGCGATGAGAGGCCGTTTGAAATAAAATTCCGAATTTCCATCGAGGTGAGTGAGTGCTTCCCTCTCCTGACCTTGCCGGAAACGAACAGTTTGCCTATTCTGCAAATGGACTGGAAGGACAGTCACACTTGGGCTCCTGCCGACCATGTCAAATTCGAGCACTCTCCAGGCGCAGTCCGTTGCTCCTGATATTCTGTGCGTTCTGTACTCTTCGCACTCATTTATAGGGCCATCCTAAGCCTCGGCGTCCCCCACCAACCTTACCCGAGTTAGAGGATTGCCCTTGCACAGATATTTGAAGAGGTATTTCAAACTTCTCCTCCCTGAAGCAATTTCAAGATTTGCGTGACAATCGAGATCCAGCGAAACAGCAGCACAATACGAAACGACATCACGGTCTGAAATCGTCACATCTCTGCCATTGACCTGTATGATGGCCGTGTTTTGTGGATCCCTTTTGTAATGATAAAAACCCCGCTCGTCACAATACGTCACAGGGGTGGCCTCCTTAGGAAAGTATTTTTTGCAAACATTCTTTTCAGCATCCCAACATGGCAGATTCGTCCTGTTCGGAGGGCCACAGGGGCCGTGAATATTGTGTCTGAAAATGGTTTCCCGGAGTCTGCCGTTGGCCTCATCGGCAGACGGAATGTCCGCCCTCACAAACTTGTCGACGTCTGCAGCTTGCGTTGGGGCATTTTCGTCGGCGATTCTAAACACAATGTGCGCGTGGGCAAGTCCACGAGCCTGAAACTCCACAACATATATAATGTAACACAGTTTGCCAAAATAGCGGCCAGACCTAATATTTTTGATAAGCCTAGCCAGCTTGAGCTTGAACACCCTGTTTGACAAATGCGCCTCTGTGCTACGTCCCCGACGCGACTGGCGGTACTCTGGCCAAGAGCCATTGGCAGATACTGTGAGGAAGTAGTGCGGTATATTCTTTCGCTGCACTACCGCCATGCCGTCCATGTAGTGCCGCTTATAATAACGTTTGGACCCCACAAACGTACTGGGCAAATAGACACGGCCGGCTTGCCTTCCGTCACCTTCGACGGTCTCATCATTCAGCACATCTTCCATGACACCGCCACCGCCACCCATTGGAAAAGGATCCCCCGCCGCTCCCCGGCCCCTGCCCCGGCCTCTCCCCCTGCCTCTCCCCCGGCCGCCCCTGCGCCGCTGACCTTCATCAAATCCCCCTGCTAAAGCAGCATCCTGAGCGTCAACGACCGCTTGCACTTCCTCTCGTGGTCCGATTCGAAGTTGATTGTCGGCAGGATTTCGTTGACAATACTCTATGTATCGCAACCTTTCTTCTTCCACCCTGCAAAACGAATCGACCAACCACGTATCCGAAAGGCGGGAAAACTCAGAAAACCGTGGTTCCGCCAACAAGCGGTACCGCACGTAGTCGAGAGGGGTGACCTTTTTCCCATCTTCACTTTTTAAATCGTAACTCCACCCCTGATCACCGCTGGGAAAGAGAAGGGGATACTGCATGGGCTCTACGTGGGGACTTCTGTAGTCGATAAAATGCGACCCGACACCGAACTTCGAAATAAAAAGCTTTCGTCGCTCGTACGGCACATCTTCGGTGGGTAAAATTACAGCCACCTCCGCATTGGGGTCACCATCGATAAAATTATGTGTCCCCCTTCGTCTCTCTATGTGCTGAAAACAAAGGGAGACATTTTCCCCAGGCTCGTCGGCAAATCTTTTAAAGCAATGAATATAGGGATTATTCGCCTCCAGCATGGTCTGGATGGCACGAATGACCACCTGATTCAGGTGCTGCCCCTGAGCCTCCCTTCGCCGCTCGGCACCATCATCAAAATAAAATTGAGTATAATTTGGACGACCGGGCGTGCCCTGACGCCTTCCATCATACACCAAATGGTACGTGCGACCTTGAAGCTTGACATAAGCGGGGCCAGGCCCATGCCGCGTGTGGAGCCACTCTCCCTTCACACAAGAGGCACACATGGAAAACAGATTGTTGTACGCACCAGGATGTTCTTTAAAATGAGGGTGCTCATAAAAATCTGCATCAGCGGGAAGGGGAGGGAGTGACAAAAAGCACAGTCGACCTGACTGGCAGCACCACTGCGTCCTGCCCACTTCCTCTTGGAAGAAACGGGCGTGACAATGCACGCATTGTGGCCCCAAATTTAAGTTGGGCTGCTGCAACGTAAATGTGGGGACGGCATTCAGCGCGTCACCCCGCCAAGTTCCAACCACTGGGCCCTCCCTCATGGCACGCGGCAAGTGCCGCACCAGGTCGTAATTGGCTTGACGTTGTGGATTGTTGTCAGCATAATCAAGCCACCTTTCTCTCTCCGCTTCCCGATTCCTTTCCCTGTACCTTTCTGTCGCTTCCTCATTTACTTCCGGGTGTGCCTCTGTGTACCTCTGCACCCCCCGGCCCCGGGGGCCTTTTATTTCACCCCCCCCTCGGGATGTGCCTCTGTGTACCTCTGCACTGCCCCTGTGCACCTCGGGATGTGCCTCTGTGTACCTCTGCACTGCCGCCCCCGGGGGTTTTCCCACATCCCGGGGGATGTGCCTCTGTGTACCTCTGCACTGCCCCTCGGTTCACCTCGGGATGAGTCAAGGCATACTGTTTGGCAGCTTCTATTCTTTTGGCTTTGTTTTTCTCATAATATTTTTTTTGAGCTGCCTTTAGCCGATCTCGGTGGGAAAGAGTGGATGGCTTTTTCCGACTCTTTTTTTTTTGGCCGACCAGGACCCCGCTTCTGACCTGTGCTCTGCACGATCGGAGGCTGCGCTGACTTTCGACCTACACGAGACGCCAGCGGTACGTCTTCCTCACTGGATGAAGATAGGACGGACGGTGACCCAGCTGTTGACCTATCAGAACAGCCGTCCTGGACAAGGTCAGCTGATGCTTTGGAAGCAGTTCTAAAAGCAAGAGGTAGGTCATCGTCACTCAATCGCTCTAAAACCACGACTGCCCTTTTAATTGGCACAATGCTCTGTCCATGTTCACCGCTCTGTCTGGCTGCCTTTCGTTTCCTTGCCTTTTTTAGGAGTAAAGCTAAGGGAACTTCATCACTTGAACCAGATGATACAACAGAGGCAGGACTACTTGGATGCTGAGACGGCCCAACCACTTGAATGTGATCACCTTCAACTGATTTTCCTGGACTCTGAACGGGTGAACGAGACACATCACTTCCAGCATAACCGTAAAGGGCCCAAATATCATCCAATTCGGCAACATCCGGATTTTGCTGGTCGTATTCATCAAGTGGGCTGTCATACAGGACGTCTTGCTCAGCATCCTCCAGAGGACAAATGCTGTACATCGAGTAGCCCCGTAACACACCATCACAAGCCGAATTAGATAACAGAAGAACAGCTAGGCCGTGCTGTGTTGCAGCTGTAAAGAGCCTTGCAACGTTCAAGGCCGGACGAAAGAAATCATGAGAATTTCGGCCATTGACACCATGGCTATTAAACATATAGTAAAGACCATTAGCCTCCCAAAATGATATTGTGTAATTTTGTCCTGTGAAAATAAATCCCGTAAAGGGTGAGTGAGAAGGAGAACTAAAACAGTCTGATAATAGATCCTCAAGGTGTTCTAGCGCTGCGTCAGCGTCAGCCTGGCTACGCGATAGTGGGTACAACCCGCCTGGCCACTCTAATCGCTCAAATATCATAAAACGTTTCCCGCAACAGGTAAATTCATGGGGCAATTCATCGGGGAAGAGAAACCCGGCAGCAGATGTCAATTGCTGATCTTTGCATTGCACCCAAAAGTCGAAACCATCGTTTACGACCCTGTTTACCGTTGCGGGATGAAACTCATTGTCCAAATTTTTTGCTGCAATTGCACACGCGGAGGTTGGGACACACGAAGAGTTTTGTCCCTGAGGGAAAAATTCCCTGCCCTGATGGATGGTGCCTGCCACCGCGCATGCAATTGTACCGTTATCAAAAAGTCCGTTTTTGTAAAGAGAAATGTGAGAATCCATAATTTGTTCGTTAAATTTCACCCCAGCTTCCGCAACACCCACCACGGAGCCACAACTGGAACGGGTGATCTGCAGCACTACACTGCCCCGTTATTGCTAGAAGCCAAGGCATAGAGGCAGTCTCGGCAGGTCTGTCACCCCTGCCAAAACCGACTCTCGCCCTACCTTGCGTCCCGATTTGAAAGACACCGGCTGCAGTGCCCTTCCACGGAAAAATACCAAAATACCGACAGGAGAGTCCAGCCGTCACGTCACGCCATGGTACCGTCATCAAATTTGCCGTTTTAATGAAAAAGAAAAAAAAAGATCCCTGTTGTGTCTAGGGCGTAGGAAATATTGATGAGTACTTTTAAGTGCCTTCCTACACAGCACTAGCTGGCAAACTGCGGGGCCGCTAATCCCCGAAACGAAACTCAAAAAGAGAGTCGCCGCCTGCAGTATACTTCGTCGCTGGTGACGCCAACCATGTGGAAAAAGGATGAGAGGACGAATAAGACGCAAGTTATTTGGCCGAGTCAGGGCACACACTTTTTTCAGAGCAGAACAAGTAGCCCAAGGCAGGATTGTGTGCTCTTATTTCCTGCCTATATAACTGAGGTACTCCGGGGTCATTAGTTCCCGAAACCCTTAGAGCGCCCCCTGGAGGATGTTTATACACAAGGTAGGTTTACGCCAGACCGCGTCTTGTCGTAACAGGCTTCGCGATGTCTCGCTGCCTGTTCCTCCAATCCACGCCTGGCGTACCTACCTTGGCCTGCGGCGCTAGCCTGCCTCTGGCAGGCAATGGCTTGTCCATTG